CATACTACAATAATTTAAGCTATATTTAAACAAAAGGAAAATAATTTAATTTATAACATTTGGATATTGTTTTAAAATAAACGTTTATTAAAAAAACATAAAAATAAAATGTATGTATTTTTAAACGTTTATTTTAAATTTTATTTCTTAAGTAGCATGAACCTAAATATTTTGAAAAGTTTTCACTTAATCTTTTCGCATTTAATTAAAGAACATTCTGTCCTTATTATGGAAAGCATTTTGGAAGCATGAAATTACACTATTATTATAATTTGATTACAAATAATTTCAAGTAATACGATTTTTATTATTTCAGCAAGTCTTACTTGGATTTAAGTAAAAAAGTGACAGCCAGAGTTTCGCAAACTAGTTCACAGACTTTGATATATTATTGGAGTGTATATTTATTTATTGGCTAGTGAACGAGTTTCTTTGGCCGGTTTACGCACGAGAAAGTCGTCGCTCAGAATTGTCCAACTAAGCGGCACATTGTTATTAATTTCTGGTGACAAACGTTGCCATTGAGCTGTGCCTAACGACCAGAAACTGAGTGGAGGCCGTCCGCCTGCCCTGGGCATGACCACGATAATTCAAAGGCAACAAAATCAAATGGCAAAACGAAACGAAAGTCACTTAGTTTATGGAACCGCAGAATCAATAACCGTTCGCTCTCAATAACCAAACAGCCCAAGCTCGAACAAAGCGCTAGCAATGTTTCTGCCTCGAATTGGGAGCATTCTGTGTGGGGGCAGCATGTAGCATGGAATTTTCGACGTGCAACTATTGGCCAATAGTTGGGAAAGTGTCAAAATATCATTTAGCGTGTATTAGCCAAAAAGCTGTCAACTGACAACAGACAACTGGCAACTGGCAAAGAAAGCACTCGAAGAGACGCAGTCACTGGAACTGACATTTGTTTATGTGCCTTAAGATGGGAAGGGTCCATGACTCATTATGTGCTCGAGCAGATTTAAATCTCTGCCAAATTGTTGCCGGGCACAACCTTTTGGCATGGATCAACGCTTCCAGCAGTTGGTCGTATCAGCTGTTGGCCAAGTGGAAGTTAGCCGAAAATGCGTTGAACTTTGTCAATATTTGCCGACCTTTTTTTCTACTTATTTCATTTTATCTCTGTGCATTTCATTTCTATTCATTAATTTCACTTTTACTCATAAATATGCTAATCATTTGCTCACGCTTCAATCGAAGCGTCGAGCTTGGGTTTCGGTCTCTGTCTCGGTCTCAGTCTCGGTCTGGCTTTGTCAAATTGATTTTCATAACAAATCTTTTGACTGCTTTTTGGACTCTTAGCTGAATCGATTATTATTAACGTTTGGCACTTGAGGGCAGTTGGCCAACAGTCTAGCAGTTCAGTTTTTTAGAATGCATGGCGCCCGTCGGCTTGAGTTACGCAATTTGCCTAAGAAGAAAGTTAAATAACATTTCTTTCGCTCTTTATTTTTCGCTTTTTTACTTTTTACTTTCCATTGTTAGGCCGAGATCTCTTGAGTCTCCAATCATTTTTAGCATATGGCTGACAACTCTCGTTAGTGACATCAGTTGGGCTGCCCAGCCCAGCCCAGCCCAGTTGGGCAGCCAAAAGCGAAAATAAATAAACAAACACTTTCACAAAGCTGCAAATGCGGGGAGTACGACAGCTCAGATACCCTAACTATGTAATTTAGAGTCCCAAGCACAAAGTAATTTTTAATTAATATTATTCCTTATTATTTTTGTTTGTTGACCCGCCAAGTTGTGTGTGGACAGCTCTCACCTCTTTGTTGGTGCGTGTCGCTGGTCACATTCGAGTCGCACGGGTGTTAGGCTCCAAATGCGTTGATGATGATGATGACCTTTCGGCATTGCCGGCATTATTAAGACATCACAATTGAGGCAAGCGTCACAATATTGAAATTAAAATTCCAAAAAAGACCACCGAGTGCGCCCTTTAAGTGGTCAATTCAAGCACTGAGCAAACTTCAATTGAGCCAGCTTAGCCTGGGCTCAAGTGACTGTGATTGATGGGTCCCCGGCTCGCTGGCCTATCAATATAAAATATACAAATTTGGCAAGACACACATTAACATTTGGCTTGAGCTCGGTATTGCGCAAGTTGCGGAAGTGCGTGTGGCAACATAAAACCAGTTGCCTTACGGTCTCCAAGCGCTCTTCTTCTTTATTTGGCTGCCACATAAGTATCCATATGCAGGTCCCACGCTCGCCCCATACACGCACGCATTTATATTTATCACAGTCGGCTCACATTTGCGCCATTTAATGGCCCATTGCTCTTAACGTTATGCTTTCCTACATGGCTGGTTGAGTCTACATCAACTTTTGCCAACAGCTTTAAAGGGCAGCAGTCACAGCTGCCAAAGGTTAAATGTGCAGCAGGTGTACCTCGAGGTGAGCAGCTCAACTCTGTGTGTGTGTGTGTGCTTAATAAACATATGCATACATATTCTCTTGCCAGAATAATTAATATAAAAGTAGCTATCATAAAGTTGCGCACATTTATGTAGCAGACATCTCAAATGCTTAAAAAGTACCAGCACAACATACCTAATTAGCGCTTAGTCTCGCTATACATCGTGATGTATGCATTCAAAAATGTATTTAAAATGATTGAGCTAGCCCAATAAGATTGTGTACGCTGTTGAATAAAATTGAAAATCATTAAAGTTATTTGCAGCATGTAACCTATGTATGTGCATAAATGTGGATATTTATGTATATTATACAGCCTCTACATCATGATGTAACAGCTAAAAAAAAAGCTGTTTGCTGAATGTAACCCAGTTTTAATATTTGCTCGTAAATATTATTTAGCATATAAATATTCTAGACAATCCTCTACAATGTTATTTATTAATTATATATTGTCATAAAGTGTTGCTATCCAAAGATCGTTAAATCTCTTTGCAGAATGTATCCCAATGTAATTACAAAATTTTATTTTGCAAAGTGAAGTAAGGTCTAACTCGAGCTCTCTTGATTGGATTTATTTAAGCCATCAAAGTAGTCAGCTTTAGCTGAATCAATCTACTCACTTTGCCCAAGCCATTTAAATGAACTTAAAAATAAATGACTATCACGAGTAAATATTGTCTGAATTTGAAATGTTATACCTTTTTAAATTCGTACGAATCCCTACTATCATATGGCATTCAAAGAAATTAAAAATTGGTGGGTTGGAAAAAGTTGTTGACCAAAAAACGTTTCGTTGGTATAATCAAACTTTTTTGTTGATTTTTTTTAGACTATCTCGGCCAAGTAATCTCAGAGTCGAAGCATTCGCCAACCCATACAAGAGACCTCGCTGAGAGGTGTGTAGTCAGAAGGCTCTAGAAAGATCCTTTAGAGACCTCCTCCAACCACGACGCAGGAGAAGCCCCAGAGCCCACCGACTACCTACGTACCTTCACGATAAAGCCTGAGGACCCAACCAGGATTGGCGAGATACCACCTAAGTTAACGGTTTTGTAATAAAAATGTATGCTATTTTTTGATTCAATACAATAAACATATATAAGTTAAAAAAAAACAAACTTTTTTGACGATTTTTTTTTAACTCTCGGGTAAATATAACCTGTTTATGTCGTTTTGGAACGTCATATATCCGCGCGGAGTTATGTCGTTTTGGAACGTCATATCTCCAAGGGGAGTTATGTCGTTTTGGAACGTCATATATCCGCGCGGAGTTATGTCGTTTTGGAACGTCATATCTCCAAGGGGAGTTATGTCGTTTTGGAACGTCATATCTCCAAGGGGAGTTATGTCGTTTTGGAACGTCATATCTCCAAGGGGAGTTATGTCGTTTTGGAACGTCATATCTCCAAGCGGAGTTATAACGTCATATCTCCGCGCGGAGTTATGTCGTTTTGGAACGTCATATCTCCGCGCGGAGTTATGTGGATTTGGAACGTCATATCTTCGCGCGGAGTTATGTCGTTTTGGAACGTCATATCTCCGCGCGGAGCTATAACGTCATATCTCCGCGCGGAGCTATGTCGTTTTGGAACGTCATATCTCCGCGAGGAGTTATGTCGTTTTGGAACGTCATATCTTAAGTGAGTGCTGTCCCAATCGAGCTCTCTCCACTGGATTTATTCAAGCCATATATATAGGTAGCTTTATCTGAATCAATATACTTACTTTGCATACCCAAGCCATTTGTAAAAAAAAAAAAATACGAGCAACAATTAGTTATTAAAACATTTATTTATTAATTAATAATTTTATTTACGGTTGCTTTATAGCAAACATCGGTACTTATTATCGTAGGGCTTAGCTGAGATTGTTATTAATAAACACGCAATTAGAACTATGGACACATTTTATGTTACATAAATCAATATTGTATGCTTAAGTTTAGGTATTTATGTAAATAATATGGAAATAGGTTCATTAGCGAAATACTTACAAAGCCTTAAATTTAAGAAGCGTAAATAGGAACAAAGTGGAACATTTGCTTAAATAAATGTATATGTATATGGATCTACAAGTACTTATAACTGAAGAGTTGTGTGTTTATCAATTACCCGAAATTTAATTGAAGGGCTCATTCAATTAAATCACAGTATTTGATAAAACTTAAACCAAGTGTGTGTCTATATATATATAAATAAATCGTTATTGTAATTGTAATCATAATTGTAATTGTAGATACATTATCTATAGATACATCTGGCTGGAGCTCATAATTATCCCGCCTAGACTTAAATATAACTCAGCTTTGCTTTCAATCAGTCAACACATATTCGTTATTTCTTAACTATATGTTAATTTTAAATAAAAAAAATGCAACTTTCATGCTTTATGTTTTGTATTTAATTGCAGCTGCTCCTTGGCTCCGACGCACAGAGAGTTCAAGAGTTCAGCTGGCATTGTGCCTAGGGGGAGGGGGATTGGGAACGCAATGCAAATTGGCAATTTAGTATTGTTGCAAACTGTAATAGTGCGCAAATATTGAAATACTTTTGTGTGTGCAAAATGCCAAATGGACTCTACAAAAAACCACATCGAATGAACTTTTGCTTACTTTCGACTTGATAAATGAAAATAATGATACAAATCTCAAACGCATGCAGCTGCTTTTGGCATTAAATGGCAATTTTTGGGTTTGTTGCATGCAAATTTACTTAGTCCCGGCGTGGGCAGCAAAATCTTGTAATCTTCTCCATAATTATACATACAGAGAGAGAGAGAGAGATATAAACCATATGTGTATGGACAACACTGAGATAGAGACGGGTGGGGTGTTTTAGACAGAGGTTGAGTGTGGTTAGGTTCGGGTAATTGGCTTTAACGCGGCACCAGCGTGGTCATCTCTGAGGGCATGGGGTTCTCAGTGAGGGCAACAGATTCCGTGACGGCGCTGCGCGTTCCATTAACCGTGTGTCTTGTGTTAAATTCGGTGGCCGCAATGCTCATACCGCCGAGGCAATCACCATCGGAGGCGCCACGTTGGACGCTGTTGCCCAGGAGCTGGAGCTCGTGTTTGCGACGTCGACGCGCTGCCGCTGCCTGCATGTTGCTGCCTGTCGTGTGACCATGGAGAGCAACATTAGTGGATTCAGTGGAACGACACAAGAGTTCTTGAAATTCTTTACGGAAGTTATCGTTGAGCCATCCATACAGCAGCGGATTCGAGCAGGCCGAGCTCATGCCAATCATGTGGCAAATGGCATATGCCACAAGCATTCTCTGCGTCACGGCCGATGGATGCTGCAGGTCCGCATACAAATTGAAAAAGTTCAGTGGCAGCCACGAGACCCCAAAGATGATCGCAATGCTAATTAGCAGCCGATTCGTGCGCTTCATGCGTCTGCCCCGCTCCACTTTCCGCTGCGACGAGCTCTGCACCGTGACCACAGTGATCCGGCTCTTCAGCTTGTTGTAGATGCCAAAGTAGGCCACCGACACGATCAGTATGGGCACCAGATACTGTACGCACAGCGAAAAGATCGAGTAGTAGAAACGGCCATCGCTCAGCGGCCAGTCCTCGATGCAGTACGATATCCTGTGCGGCACACCCAGCCTTTGCAGCACTGGCGGCATATCCATGCTGATCAGCTGCTTGTAGATGAACAGTGGCGAGGCTAGTGTCAGGGCGAGTATCCAAATTCCTGCCAGAATGGCGACGGCTCCCACAAACTGCAGGCTGTCCCGCGTGGGATACACAATTACCTAGTGCAGGGGCAAATGGCAACTTTAGTAACTAAACCAAGCAAAAATTATAAATAGGCTGCTTTCAATACCTAACTTATTTCTTTTTATAAAATACTTTCAATACTTTAGCTGGTTGCTTATCAAATCAAGCAAGTCAGCAGCTACTTTAAATACCCTAATATTTGACCCTTTATGGACTATACTCATCATAAGATTAGTACATCATTTTGTCTATTCATTCCAATCCAATTAAATCAATCCTAAAACCGAACTATTCTAAGCCACAAAAATCCAGTTTATTATGCTAAGCCAAAGCTAACAAACCATATAGGTACGGCAAATATTTTATTGTCTATTCATTTCAGCCACAATTATGATGCCTATTTTTTTTTTGGAATTTGTAAAGCAGTTAAGGAAAGGCTATTTAGTGTTAATAAAAATAGTGGCATAATCTTTTTAAGCATCATCAGTTTTACAATTGTGGCTCGCAACATTTGGCGCCGAATCGCTTATTATTTCACGCTCTTTGATTTTTGATTAGAACAGACGACAACCCTCCAAAGGCCCTTTATCGATTTTCGCTGGCTGTCATAACAGTTAAATATCATGATGGTTAATGTGCAGCGTGTGTTCTACTAACCTGATATCTGTCGAAGGCGATGGCTGTTATGGATATGGTTGACACGAATATGCTGAGCGCCTGCAGCGTGGCAATCGTTTTGCACAGGACGGCGCAGGAGCCGTATGGCCAGAATTTTGAAAGGATTTCCATTAGTGTTAACGGCATGGTAACTAGGCACAAGAGCAGGTCTGCGAATGGCCAACGAGCACATGCCATAAATGTCAATTCGACGTCAAACAACACACACACACACACACAGACACAAGCCCCAACTCACCCGAGATGGCCAGATTGAGGATGAAGAGGTTGCGGGCGGTGCGCATGATTGGTTTACGCACCACAGCAATGACCACCATTATGTTGCCCATGGCTCCGAACACAATCAGCACGCTGTACATGGCGATTAGCAGATGGTACCAGGGACTCTCGATGGCACGGTTATGCAGATACTGATCCATCAGCACCGGATCCATGTCCGCGGGCATAAAGTTGCTCTCGTTGTTTGTGCTGTTCAATAGCAACATTGTCATGTTGCTGTGGCTAATGTTGTTGTTGCTGCTGCTGCTGTTGATGTTGTTGCTGATGCTGATGCTGCTGCTGCTGACATCGCCTGTGTGTAGCGAGGGAAAATTAGCCAAATGTCGCCGTTCCCCAATCAGATCAAAATTGCTGTTTCTCGAAATCGCTTTAAATATCTCCGCTGAGCTTTCGAATTGCGGCAATATTCCAAATTCAGTGCGATTCATGGCGATTATCTGTTGAGAAATAAAACTGTCTTTGAATCAGACTTTACTTTATCCACAATAAAAATGAGAGAAAGAAATAGTGAGAGCACGTTTGACGGGAGTAACCTACTAGGAGATACCCTGGTGCCAAAAATGCTCCCTTTCTTCTACACATTCAAAGACAACAACACATATACGCAGGGTGTGCTTCTTCCTCCTTTTAAATCTTACTATAGGAAATATGCTCTTAAGTAACTGCGTTATTTATTGTCCGAACTTTATAAAAATTACAGGGCAACAAATTGGTAATAAATTATGTTTTAATAAAAAAGCCCACGGCTTAAGCTCCACAAATAAGTTCTTTTGTTTTTTAATTGTGTTGGGAACTGGACAGTATCAAAAGGTATCGATTTCAACGAGGCAAGTTATCAGGCAGTTAAAATAAACTTGATCTTTTCGTTATATGGCTTTTATAGTCGCTGCGATCAAATGTACTTTATGGGTAGGGAGAAGCCTCCTTCTGTATATTCATCAGTATACCCCTTTTTACACGCTTTCAACGGGTTTAGGGTATCAGGACAAAAGGGATTCGTTGGCATTGCGTGTGTGTGTTAAACGTGATTTAAGTGCTGGTCCAAACGCACACATGCTCCCAACTGTCGCAACTCCCCGAACAGGACCTTAGAATTTGCCTAAAAATAAACGGCAATAACTATCCCCGAACACGTGCAGTGCCCGCCGCTAGGCTTATGCCAAAACTTTCACTGTCTATTGGTTTTTGGCATGCTTTTGAGTTTTGATGCCAGAGGCTTACAAACTCCATAAAACTTTGCTGTTTTTATGGTAAAAGTAAAAGTAGAAGTAAGCACTTTTTGATAAAGAACTATATTACAATAAAAATAATCACAAATAAAATGACATTTCTTGCTGTTTACAGCAGGATTTATTTGCCTGCGTTTGGCAGATTCTTGCATTTGTTTACAACTTCTCGTAAATCTATAATTTTCACTATATTTATAAATATAATGAACATAGTTGAAACACATCAGAGCAAAGCATGAGAAAAATGTTTTTAATTAAAAAAGTTTCGCCTGAAATGATTTTTTTCATATAGCTTCCCCCAGTGGCCAGTGTTCAATAATCTGCATTAAATTTATGCAGAAAACAAAACGGAAAATATGTGAAATGTGGCCGCAGTTAAAATACTCTGAATGTTGCTAAATGTTAACTATGTTAATTATGAAATTCTTGTGAAAAACTTTTCACCCGGTAACTGTTGCACGCCCGCAAAATGGGAAAACTCTCTAATGTGTTTTGTACGCATTAATGGATCCAGCTATAACAAAAAGGGCATTAAGAATCGTTGATGCCCCATTAATGTCCATTATTGGCGTTTCCCAGCTACGCGTGAATTTTATAATTAGCTCTGGACTTCTAGAAAATCGTTCGCAGCTCTGTTTACATGATTTGCTTCGTAATTTATGCAACGCCTCCTCATTGACAGGGCAACTAAACCTCTGTTTAAATTTAAAGTCAAGTTTAGAAGCTTGTGAAACACAAATAATAACTTCTGTCAGAGCGTTGCCAGGTCCCTTGCAAGCCGAAGCACTCATAATGAGAAATGAGGGGGCAGAAACTGCCTCAATTATTTGTAATGTTATGTTTACGCAATGGGGCGCATCTCTTTTATATATCGAGAGACAGGCCGACATTCGATTTGTACTCGGGTTATAAATGACGACAATTGCTTAAGATAATTGCGTAATTTTATGCAGCAGATGGGCGCGTACTTATCAATGTCAATAAAGCGAGCCAACCTAAATAGAGGTTGAGATGTGTAGCAGCAGCAGCACATTATTCAGATTCCCTAAAGTATGCAGCACAATCGGTTGGTGCGATTAATGTGTTGCCCATAAATCAAGAGAGGGTCGCACCTTGTCGCACCAGACGCTGTTCGGGGGACTAAAAACATCCCAAAAGAGTTAATGTGCACACATGTTTCTAATCGTTGCTCATCCGCTGTGAAACTTGAATATTGATTTTGAATTTCCCATTGGGCTGAGCTGGTGACAAAATGCACACAAACTTGCCAAATAAATGCAATTCAAAGTTTGCAAATGACAATTGACAAATGTTTGTCTCTGCATCGACCACAAAACTTTGTCTTTGGACACATTCAAGTAAGAGATTTATAGTGTAGGGGTGTAATAGATACGCAAGCATCAAATATTTATTTACAAGTGCTAAAAGTTCCCAAAAAGGTAGATAACAATAGACAAAGTTTTGTTTTTTAAAAAGTTTGACCAATTGCGTGTTTTGTTTCGTGTTCCGGGGAAACAAGCACGGCCTCTTAGTCATTTCGTGAGAATCGCTGAGAAGGGCGAATGAGTACAAATTGAGTTTTCATGTCAGGGAAAGCGCTTCGAGTTCTTGCTTGGAATTTATTACAGTTTTGTTTGGTTATTTTCTTTGTAGCCATATATATATCTCATTGGAGCGTTTGCGAAATGACTTTTTCAGAAAGTTGACGACAAGAAAATTATGTAAAGTAGCCTCAAGTTCATAGAACTTGTCATGAATTTGAATAATTTTCAAACTGTCAACGCTCGGCGCGAATCGCCCCGTCTCACTGCGTGGGTCTATTTGCGTTCTAGCCCAGCCACATTTGCACATTAAGCTGCGTGATAAAGATATTAAATGCCATGGCCAAGAAAAAAAAAGATAAGAAAACCCCAAAACGGCTTTTAACCCATTTTTCTTTTGCAGCTTTTCCATTTTTGGCTCAGCCACTTTTGTGATTTATTTGTGCTCGTGCCGCTGTCAGGTGGCTGTACTGCAGGGCATGTCTCCTTGCCTTTCGATGCTATTTCTATTGCTAGATGACTTTTATGGCCGTTTACAGAAAACGACGGAGCTTAAGATCTTAGGCGTTACACATGAAAAATGTCTCAATTTTTCATAGGCAATGTTACAAATTCATTTGTGTAGCTACATCACTTAAACTGATTCGATTTATTGATGGGTTGCGGACGACCGGACGAGTTGTACAACAGCAAGAGAAAATCTATTTGAGGATATTATAAAATAAATGTTTTTTTTGAAGCAATTAATTCGATTGGGGGGTCAAGCGCTGGGATAACAATGCAAATTGGATTTTGGGCTATATTCAATCCCGTTTTGTGCTTGCAAAAGAAAAACAAAAACAAGTTAAAAATCGTTTAACCAGGCTAAAATATTTGCAAATCAATGCACAGGCCTGAAATAATATCAACCAAAAATGACGCACAGCCACATTTTATGGTCGGGCCGGACCCCTTTTTGCTCTCAGTTCATTAAATTGAACTCAACTCGAAGAGATATAATTAAATTTAGAGCAGTACGTGCTGCTGTTCATCTGTCAGGCGCAGTCAGTTTATAAGAGGCTCTATAAATGTAAAATGAAATGATGCCAACTGCCATATGGCCAAGTATGTTGGGATGCGCCATCAAGAATCACAACAGAGCCAGCCAAACAAATAAATTACCCAGCAAGTGGAAACTTTTTGTTTCTTGTTTAAAAGCGCAAAACGACAAAGTTGAGGACTAACGTAATTTTACTTCGAGTTAACATCTCATTTGGGAAGGTTTCTGGGCACAACAACGAGTCACTTTCAAGTATTTATATTGCAATCAGACTTACCATGTCTCGCCCCTGATTATGTGGCCCCTTTGCCTCCAGCTTTGTGTCGCACTTATTGTTCTCCTGTTTTCCCTTGTAAGTAGCTATAACTATGTATATGTAACTGTCTCTGTAGTTATAGCACTTGTTGTTCATTCATTCAACGTGCAACCTGAAATGCACTCATGGGACTTTACTTATATGAAGTTGTTGTTGTTGTTGCTGCAGCGGAGTCCTTGTACCTGTTTTCCTTAATCCTTGTCACACAATATTTTACTTCAACTGCAAGACACAGAATGGCACTTGTGTTGCAAATAAATTTTTATCAAACATTCCAAATAAATCCTTGCACTTTGGCAGCATATGCAAGACTTAGGACTTTAGTACACTAGTCAGTAGACTTCGCATATATACTACATATATATTAAATAACTTTAGCTTTAGGTTTGCACACTTTTACTTTCCAGCTGCTCCCGCAGGAAATACAAGCCAGCGCCTTGCATATACATTTATTTGCATATTTTATTGCATACATTCATCTGCGCATTTTATTCACTACCTACTCATGTCTGTCTGCCTGGCTGCACCGCTGACTGGCAGATCGGGAAAATTTGCTGCCAGCCAGCACCAATTTAACAAACTGGAAAACGCGTTGCTTCAAATGTCAGACTAAATTAAAATTACTTATATCAGCGCAGCAAGCTCAGGACGATAAACCAATTTAAAACCTGACAGACTTCCAACTTTTCATATTCAAATTTGCATGCAATTATCTCAGAACAGTGTCAATTAACAGCAGCGACTCTTAACGTACCTACTTTATGCCCTGTGCTCGAAAAACATGAAAAATAAAGTTGGTTGTTAAAGTTGGTCTAATGCACAAAACAACCTTAAACTAACGGAGAGTATTTCTGGAAGCCAAATATCATTTGGCTTACGCATCGTTCCGACTCGCTGCCTTGAGCTTCGTTTCGTAACCCTAGCTTTCCTTATCCATAAGCTCAGGTTTAAGTTGAAACCTCGTCTTAAATATTTTCAAAATCTTCATTAAACAATAAAAATTGTAATTTGTAGCTGCCCGTTTTACTGCAAATGTCGCAAGTCCTTTCGATCTATGCCCATAATTGGCATCTAGCAAAAATGTTTCAAGAAATCACATAAGGTTCAGTTGTTGTTTGGTGAATTAATTTGGCTCAAGGTTTGAAAAATATTAGAAAAATAAATTGGAATTTCAAATCTGTTCGTTTTAAATCCAGTTTGCAGTCTTGATACATATACTAATTTGTTAATTTTTGAATAAAATATCTCAAACTGGAGGGAAACAGTTGCTGGAAACTTTCAAAAAAATTAATTAAATCTAAATTAATAAAATACGGACTTAAAGTATTTGGGAACCAAAACCAGCTTGTTCAAGTGCTTTATTTGTATTTATTTGTTTCTGCAACACTTCAAAGCCAATTTTTCAAACAAACTTCAAAAACACATCCAAACATTTTCCGACGAAAGTTAATTGAATATGATGTTTTTTATGCAGCCGAGTAAATGCACATTAATATCAGAATTTAAAGATCTGGTGTTTATTCACATTTCATTGCCCAATTAGTTTTTTTGTGTGTTTAAAAGCATTTTATTCATTGCGCTTTGTTCGGTTTTCATAATTTTGTTGCGTGACCAAAATGCTTTTAGTTCTCACTTAAACCGATTTCCGCTCTTCATTTCCGCAAATCCACATTAACCAAATATAAAAAAACGTCCGCTTACACTTTATTTTTCCTTTGCTCGGCGAAACTTAAGCATTCTGCACAAATTCCGGCACTCAAATTTTATTCCGCTTGAGTTACAACTTCCTTTTTAGATTTATTTTCTTGTATTTTATTATTTTGTGCACTTTCCACTATTTTCACAAAGCGAACAGATAGTTAGAATCGTAATGATGAGGTTTGTCGGCCGCACACGTCGTCTCGCATTACGCCAGATTCCAAATTTGATTACACACTCGGCACTTGGCACTTGGCACTTGGCACTTGGGCAGAACAGAATACAGAGATCCGAATACACAGACCGTATTCACAATTGAAATTCACAATTTGGAAGTGTGGCGTCCGGCACGTTATTAGACAATATCCGCGTACCAGTTGAGGGGGATTCTATGAAAATTTCACGCCTTCAACGTTTTTAATGGCGACGCACGCAAAAACAAACAAGAAAAACATTTTCCACACATTTTCTGTTGTTACCTTTTGATTTGCAAAATGATTTTCCAACTGCGAACATAGTTCGCCGCATCAGAACATTTTATGAATATTCAGCATTTTGCATATTTAATTTATTTTTATTTATTTAAATTTTTCTGGTTTTCTTTTTTTTTGGTTTATTTTTTGCTATTTGTTTAGCTTTATTTGGAAATTGTTTGGAGCACTTTTTATTATAACTTTAATGTGCGGCAAGCGTTTCATTTCATTTCAGATTTGACGATCCCGATAACTCGGCGCGTTAACAGCCGGCGACCATCTGTTGGCTTTTAGCGCACAGCCCTTACTTTTATAGTCTTGGCCCTAAAGCAATTCGCCAGCACCAAGGAGCGCTCGTTGCGTATACGCTGCGTGAGCCCGAAGTTGCAACTGAACGTGCCGCGCACACAGCCAGCTCAAAGGCGAATGCTTTCCATTTTGTTTGTTGGCCCAACAGCTGTCCGGAGCTTTCTTATCACTGCTGCTTGGGGTTGGAGCTGCCCAAAAAAGCTGTCAGCGCTTGTGGGGCACAGTGGGGCAAAAGCTTTTATAGATAACATCAAATATTATTTGAACAACAAATATTATTGCTGATATTATTATTATTATCACTGTTATTATTATTATTATTATTATTATTATTATTATTATTATTATTATTATTATTATTATTAATTTTATTATTATTATTATTATTATTATTATTATTTTTTTTTTTTATTATTATTGATACAATACAGACATTTGAAAAAAAAAAAAATTAAAAAAATATATTAACTTGCAAAGAAAAATGTGTTTTACACTAAAAAAAAAAAAAAAAAGAATATATATGCATAGAATTTTTGATAAAATATGTCAAAATTTGATACATCACAAGTCGGGGTTCGATTATGAAGTCAAATAATTTTGGGTGAGCCTCCACGAGGCGAAAGAAAGGCATTTATTTAATTTTACTGCTCGTCGAGCAGCCCCTTTGCATCGAATATGGGCAGTAAATGGGCTACAATGCTCTGTGCCCTGCCACTCTCGTATACCGAGTCCTGAAAACTAATTGCCTCCGCTGTGTCCTGATAAAGCTTACAAAAGTCCGGAGATTCATCGCCAGCATATATCATCAGAGGTTGAAAAACCAAAGCTATTACAACGCCTAGAATATGTAAAAGACTCTGTGTAAGAAACCGATTCCCAATGTGTTAGGTAAAGATTTAGTTACATAGAAATCTGCGGCGCTCGAATTGCAGCTGGAATTCCAAAAGGCTAGGTAGCTTGCCCTCGTAGTTGAACTGGCCCAGGATTCGCTTGAGTGCATAAAAATAATATTGCACCAACTCCGTTTCCCTGGCCAGCACATCCACCTGCAGCGAGGTGCTGAAGAAGTAATGCAGATCCAAAATCGGAGAGGTGCGTGTGCTGAACTGAAAGTCTATGGGCACCACAGTGGTTGGCTGGCCCTTCCCGTCGTACTGGAACATAATATTGGTAGTCCAGCAGTCGCCGTGGGTCAGCGTCTGGAAATCGTCATCGTTCACATCGAAAGCACGTGCGCCATACTCCATGAGATTGTCCAAAAGACGCGTCAGCTTGGCGTGGTACCGCGCCTTCAACTTGGGCTGCGTCTGGACGTAGCGGATGAGTCCCCGGAAGAGGCACGTGAAGAGCGTGGCGTAGCCCTTGGGGCCACGGCTGAAGAAACTGGTTTGAAAACGCCTTGTCATCAGCTCGGGATGCCGTTGCTTCAGGACCAAGGCGGCTGCATGATACTTGGCTAGCATTTGCAGCGTGATGTGAGTGTGGGCCAGGTCCAGTTGTTGCACACGATTGGCATTTCTATACTCGAGCAGCGTCAGGTCCTCCAGCAACATGATGCCCTGCTCCCGGTCGATGCATACAGCATCTGCGTGCAGCTTATCCCCGATGCCCACCTCGCGCAGCAGCTGCGTCATCCTGGGGAGAATGTGCTCATACATGTCCATCTCGCGTGCGTACACATCGTATTCCGCAAAGAGGCCCGCCTGTGGCGCATCTTTGGGGCAAGCCTCCTTCAGCAGATAGGTGCGCTGCAGCGCTGCCCCACCCGCCGCCGCCTCGAGCTCCACATGAATGCGTGTCACGATGCCCACATAATTCTCAGCTTTGCCCGTGGCCGCATTGGACCACAGCTTGAGCACATTTAGCTGCGGATCCTTGTGGAAAGCTCGAAGCTGCGACTGCATGTAGTCCTTCGTAAGCCAAGTGGGCAACTCGCAGATCTGCATCTTGTTATGCTTTTAGCTACACGCAGTTGGGTCGCCTTTGGCAGCAAGACTGCGATCCATCTGATACTTATAATGACAGTCCACGGTGCTTATCTAGCACAGCACGTCACCTCGGTGTGGGAACGCATCTTGATATTACGTAGCACCCTCTAAAGTGTGGCGCTAATGTCAATTAACTATCTATATGGCCTGTCGTATAGAGTATAAACAAACTAAACTCAACAATTAAGTGAGCTCTAGACGGCAGTGCCTGACTGGGATATCCCATAATCTTCGCGTCGAGCTACCCTCACAAATGTTTTGGCAAAAGTGTCTACTATACGAAACCTTGCATACCAAGCTGAGTGTATCTAACTCGTACAAAAGCAAAATGAGACGGACAGACCGACTTGGCTAGATCGACTCAGCTTGCCGGCCTGATCAAGAATATATATTATATTTAATTAATGGGTTCGAAATGTCTTCTTCGGCCTATTAAAACGGGCCTGTTTGCGACTGCATGATTTTGCATTTATTTGCAGTTTGTCATTTACTTAAATAAAAGTACATATTTAATGAATTTACCCTCACGCTCGAGAAACTGACCAAATATATGCCATAATTAGCATATAGCGCGGCTAATTACCTAAGGTCTAATTACCCAGATTAGATAAATATAGGCAGCCCAACTTGACAAGACCATTTATCTTAGATTGTAAAAGTTATCTATCTGAACTTCAAATGTACAGAGAAAAGAGAGAAAAAAGTAATTGAGAAAGAGTATAGGAATACAGAAAACAAGAAAGGAAGAGAAATTATAGTATAAAAAAGAGATATTCCCCCCATATCTCTTGATATATAATACAGAAAACAAGAAAGGAAGAGAAATTATACTTAGTATAAAAAAGAGATATTCTCCCCATATCTCTTGATATATAAACATTTTTTGACTGTGTCGACTCACCTGGATGGATTATGCATTTAATAATATGAGAACCAACATATTTTGCTGAATTAATTCGAGAATATCCATTAATATATCTTAACTCCTCCGCCTTAACTCTTTTCGATCAAAAAATTGGGTATAAGAACTTTTCAGAATGCCTGAAAAAAATTAAAAATATCATTTTATATTAAAATTATATTTAAAATATAATATTATCATATTTAATATATGTATATAATAAGATATTTAATTAAATATTTTTAAATCCAAAAAAAGTGAAACATATCAAGAAAATAATCTCTGATTTCTAAGCCAAATTTGAACTCAACTAACTAAGCGAATGTTACCCGATTTTGGGCTTGATTTACATGCAGTCATTTTAATTCTATTCGCAATTACATATACTCTGCAACAATTTTTGACAAATTGTTTTTTAAATATATATTTGAAAATGAATAATATTACTCGAGTATTGATGTCGGACGAACGCATTTCCTAGCCGAGCCTTGGTAACAGCCGCTGTCACAAATTTAGCCGCTGCTCGGGATCATTTAACACGTGGGCCAGCTCCGACGGGGGGCTTATCATTTGTGTTTGCGGGGCGCTTAACTGGGCAGCTTTTGATGGGGGCCATAAATGGGCGCAAACAGAACTGAAGTAGGAGATATTGGCTACCCGCGAACGAGCGCTCGTCATCCAATCGATGGCGACAGCAGCAGCAGGAAGAGAAGCAGCAGCAGGAAAAGCGCCTTCTAAATCATATTTGCTCAACTAAACCATTTACACATGTACTGAGATAGCGTCGAGGCAGGCTGTTGGCCTGTTGGTCTGCAACTTTTATATTTATACAAATGATATAAACATATTGATTTTGGCGCTGGTGCGTAGTTGGCTGGCCAAACAATTTGAGCAGAGTCTTCGGCGGCCACTTTTTCGGCAGCCAAAGCAAATTGTTTGGTAAACAAAAGCGTGCCGCTGATAAGACTAAGGTAAACACACGCAAAGCACCGCCGCACCACCGCACCACCGCACCAGCGCACCACCGCCGCAGCGGAAAATATTTGAGCAACTGTTGCGAACATTTCATTTATTAAATACTTGGCTTGCCTATGTAAATTAATGTTACGTTAAGTTTTAAAACAATATCAACGATGACGACAATTTTACTAGGAGCCGAAAGGCGGGCGCATTCCTGGTTCACGCGCAGAAGCTCTACTGTATCCGCTTACTGATGGTGTCCAGATAGTTATGGCCGTGATAGGCCTTACTCGTCGCCCAGTCCTTGCTGTAGCCGTTCGCATTGATCTCGTGCGGACTGGAGGGACTGTAACCGGCATAGCCGTTGGAGTAGCTGCTGCCCAGGAACTGGGAGTAGTCCGACGGATCGGAGTCGTAGACGTGCGAGTGCGATTGCACCAGGTGCGGATGGATCTTGCACAGCGTCTTGTACTTCAGATAGTGTATCAGCCAGCCGGTGCCGCCCACCAGCAGGACATTCATGCCCAGCACGCCGAGCAGCAGCGTCACCAAGGTCATCTTAAGGTGTGCGATTTTCATCAATATGATCAACGGCAATATGATGAGCCACTTCTTCTTTTTGCGATGCCCGCGACTCTCTGTGACGAATCGGAGCTGTTGAGCTTAGTTGGCCTCGGCTGTAGTACGTGGTACTCACCCGCCTCGTCCAGCACCCGGGCGCCCGTCTCCTTGGGCAGCGCCAGCTGCAGGCCATGATTGCGGCCAAAGGTCTCCACGGCGCGCTGCAGGAACTTGAATATGTTCACCAGCTCGCTATCGCCTGCAAAGCATTCGAGATGAGATGTGCGTAAGTAAAGGCGTGTTTATCAAGCCAAGGCAAAGACAAATAAATAAAAACTGAGCGAGCTATATAAAATAATCCAAAGTTCCGTTGAGTCTAATTAATTAGCTACGCGATAAACATCCGCAGCCGTTTATCACTTCTTTTTTATTTTTTTTTAGATTTCTGCAGTCCAAACAAAATGAGGCGCAGCGCAGCAGCTGAAGGTGAAAACCATGTGGCCAGCAGCAGGCCAATCTCTCGCATAAAGCGCAGCAGCTAATTGGCTGGGACAGCCACTTTCCCACTCGCGAAGACTTGACTTGGACCCACCTGCCAGGCTCTTGGCATTGTTGAACACAACGATTTCGTCGGCCGGTTCGCCCAGCTGGACCAGCCGCAGCCAGCGTGGCTTCTGCTCGCCCAGCGAGCGCTCGTACTCGTTGGGAAAGAAGCCCATTCCGTTGGTGGCCAGCTTCCAGATCAGTTTGGTTGCCTTGTACTTGATGCAGGACACCAGGTTGCGCGTCTCGAAGCACTCGCGCTGATTGCGCGCTATGTAGACATCACTGTGGGCGACCAGAGAGCCGCCAGCACGTGGCAGGGAGCGGGACGTCTCGATATGCAGCTGAGCTGGGGCTGGGGCTGGGGCTGGGACTGAGGTGGAGGTGGAGGCGGCGGCGGCTGCTGCAGAAGTCTCCTCCAGTGCGCTGCCAAGGCCCAGCAGGAGCAGCAAGATTAATGCCATGTGGGCAGCTATGCTCCAACGCCAGAGCGACATACTGATGCGGATAGTTGTGTTGGATCTTAAACAGAAGGCGACGATTCTCGCGGAACTGGCTAAGCTAAGCACCGCACGGCTGGCCGAGTGAAACACAAATGGAAACTGAAGGCGACCGGCTACTCCTTTTATCACAAAGCACACAGCTCAACCGCATGTGCCGACTAACGAGCTACAGCCACAGCCACATCTAATGCTCGTGAGGCATGCAGCACACCGGAATTGCGATTCCTGCCTCGCCAGCAGCTGCATTGGCGTCCGACTCGAAGTCAAAGTCAAAGTCGATGCCAGTGCGTCGCTTTCTGGGTCAGAGCCAGCGCGAAGCATGTTTTGAGGCAAATTGAATCGCATTTGCCGTCGTCTTCGTCGACGTCGTCGTCGTCGTCGGGATTATGAGCCAGCAACTAGCCGAGCTGCCGCGTGAGACTGAAAGCAAAAGCCGCAAACGTGAACGCCAAACGAAAGTGAATCCCATGTATCTGACACTCACTCGGCCGGGCAAACGAAACGCCTTGGCGCCATTCAGGCCTCGGCCAACGGCAAACGGGTTGCGGCTGCGCAGATGCATTGTAAATGATACCAATCAGAATAAGTGCGAATGCATTTAAGTGAGATTAACCCGTGTACAGCAGCAGCAGCCCATATATGCACATTGTGCACATTATGAACGCATATTCAGATACAAATGCACTTTGAGAAAAAATGCATACTTATTTCTGGTCTGACCGAGTCAGCATTTCCATAATTTTCCTCTTGAAATTTCTGAAAAACTTTTAATTCAGAGGAAAAGATCATTTTCATAATTCATTGATAAAGGACCTGCAGATTCAGACAAATACACTTCGAGAAAAATCGCATACTAATTTCTGGCCAATTAAAATTTCAAATCTGCTGCTGAAAACTTATTAAATCAAACTTAATTGTAAACAATTTGTTTCAAATAATTGCATAAAGTGGAAGTAAGCGTTGATCCTCGATTATCCATGATATTCGGGCTCATAGCTTAAAGGTTTTATAAAATTTCAATATTTTTACTTATTAGTAATAAATTTGAGCCCTCAACTTCGCCCTCCAATTCTTTGACCTTTAATTATGCCAAGGGGGGAATAGATTCAACGAAAAGTTGGAGATACACCTCAAATGAATGTGAACAAATTTAGGAAAAACGCATCTGAGACGCATCTCCAACACCAAAGGAACAAAGGAAAGTGAATATGTCAGTTTTCGGCTTTTCGTTGATTATCAATCAGTCAATCAGTCAGTCAGTCTGGACAAACTATTTTAAATATAGAAACAAGAGGATGTGAATCTGCACAATGTAAATACAATACAAATATTTAAAACATTTTTCTTCTCATTCTTATAAATCACGTATAATAAAGGTAGGTCACAGCTAATGTAGGTTTTGAATCCTGTTTAGATAATTGTGGTTTTACTGCACTTGTTACTAGCATATTCATGCTTAAAATATGCCTAAGACATTATTTTTGTACGCTAACTATTTCTTATATTTAGCACAGTTTTCGGAAGTTCTTGAATAAGAACAAAGTTCTCAATTGTTTCTCTGAGTGTATTGATCTCACAGATGTGCGACTGTGCGGTTTGCTCTGCATCGGCGTGTAATTTGCATATTTGTACAAAAAAGTGTGCTTGCAATTGTTGCGAATTATGAATCGACTCGACTATGTGTGAGTACGGGTTCGAGTCTGAATGCGAGCCGAAGTCGGAGTCGGAGTCGGAGTTGGAGTCGGAGTCTGAGTTCGAGTCATCGGATCTCTGACCGTCTTAATTACAATGCTGGCAACGTTGCCACGCGAAAGTTGTTGTTGCTGCTATTTCTCTTGCTGCTGATGTTGCTGTTGGTGCTGTTGCTGCATTTGTGATTTGTGCCGAAGTTTGCCCCTGTTGCATTATTGACCAGTGAAAGTAACAATTGGCGCAGTTTGTCGACTTTTTCTAAGCTATGCATATCTTGTGGCCTGTGGCTTTAAACAATGTGTCGCATTCTCAGCCAGCTAATTAATTAGCCAGCGTCTACGCTCAGCTCTAATAAGCATGAGGTAATCCCAAATGAACCCTCGACTTCCATAGAATATGCCACGAATGTGGCTATGTGCTGCCTTTGCCGTATTGTAGTGGATGTCGCAGCTGCGTGTAGAAAGTTTAGCAGCAATTGCTGTGAACATTGGTTTTAGCCAGCCGCAAAATAGTTATTTGAGCCACTTGTCCGCAGCTTGGCCGAAACTTAGCCAACAATGATGATTGGGCCCGAGATCAAAGTCGATTGCCTGATGGCTGCATATCAAATCAAGTGGCACACGCAAACGTGCGAGCATTTCGGAGGAGTGGATTGTCAAGACCGCCCAAAGCTACTTTTACGAGCCGCAGATGCACAATTAAACAAATTTAGCTCGAGAGGACTCTGGCCTGAAGCCAAACCGGATAGTCATTTTATTATATTGCCAGGCTGGGGGCTTATTAGTGTTTCCGCCAACGAGAGTTTGGCCATTAAATATGTGTGATTTTCGGCATGGAACTGCAGTGAAATTTCGTTGCTTACCTGCGTTTGATTGATCGATTGATCGGTTGATCGTGTGATTAAAATCAATCATTGAATTCCAATTTTAAGATCATTTAACATACAGCTGCTGTTCGACATAGAAGTAAATCCAGTAAGGATCGCGATCACGATAAAAGATCATCTATAAAACATAAATTGGGTTAACAGAGCCCATTTTGATGGGCCTTTTAGCTTTGATATTGAATTCGCATTTTGTTAAATAACAAATACTATATAAGATTAGGATAAACAAGTAAGAGGTTCTAGTCGGGAGCTCCCGACTAAGCGATACCCTGAACCCTCTTCTTCCAACATCAAACGCATATATATATTCTATTTTGGAATCTATATGTCAAGTTTGGCGATTCTAGCTCTTATTATTTACCAAAATTGCCCAAAAAACAGGATATCGATATCGATTTTTATCGATTGCTTGGAAACGGAGTAAGTTATCGATTATCGGAAACAAACTCGATCTGCGCGGGAACTAGGAGCATCTACATCTAAAATTTCAATTTCAATTTCGTTCATACATACGGACGGACGGACGGACGGACGGACGGATCGACGAACAGACAGACGGACATGGCTAGATCGACTCGGCTATTGATGCTGATTAAGAGTATATATACTTTATGGGGTCGGAGAAGATTCCTTCTGCCTGTTACATACATTTGGATTTTGCACAAATACAATATACCCTTATACCCATTTTTAATGGGTTCAGGGTATAAAAATTAAAAAATCTACTAAGTATAAGTATCTTAGAATAACCCAACTATTTTATTTTTAAAATAAACAGCTAATTTTTTATCCGTAAGATTCGTATTAAGAAACACTGCAAATAGGTTAATTGCAAAATAACTTGACGTTTTTTTTACGTCGAGTAGTGTCTTTAACACTAACATATCAACTTTTTATATGGTAAACTAATAAAACTTTTCTAAACTGAGCAGCAATAATGCTAGGTTTGTGTCTTGTCTTGTTTTGGGAGGAGCGAATTTCCAAACGTGTTGCACACTTTCGTTATATTTCAGTAATTACGTTAAGTGTGGAGCACATTCGACAAGTGTACAAAAAATCGTTCAATGAGGAGCAGGGTTGCTGTAAATGCTAGACCTGATGTGTGCAGTAGCTATTCAAAAACGAACAGTAGACGGTAAATTGATTTCGAAAATTCGTCATGTTGTGGAACCTATTGAAATTAGTCGTCAAGTGTAGCATGGTTGCTGAAAATGATAATAAAAACGTGTGCATCAACCATAGAACTATGAGCAATAGATGGCCACGCGGTTAGAATTTAGGTATTTTAACCGTCGATTTTTTGTAAAACGTAACAATTTATTGTTTAAGCTTATTGTTGCTTATATAATTTGTTAATTCTAGAAAACACACAGAGCACTCATATCACTGACTCCATAAAATCAATTGCTAACTTACAGTTAAAAATGTTTAACAGGCAGATTATAAGACCATATTCTTACCGCTTCGCGCCCGCAACAATTTCATGATCAGCGAGTTCTTATCGAGCCCGTAAATTGAGGTATGCCCACTCTGTGTGCTCTGCGGCTCATCCGACATGTAGTCCAGGTTTGGAGTGCTTGACCTCACGCTGGAGCTGTCAGTATTTGTTGTTGTTGCTGCTGTTGTTGATGCCGCTGCTGTTGCTGGTGTTGTTGCTGTTGTTGTTGATGTTGCCGCCGTGTCATCCGCTGTGCTTGGATCAAGGAACTCGCTGGTGGCTTCATCAAGGCTGCTGCTGGTGGAAACAGCTTCCACCATGTCTTTATTTGATGTGTTTTCGGTTGTGTCTTCAGAGCTGATAGCTGCAACTGTTGTTGTTGTTGTCGTCGTTTTTGTTGCTGTTGTTGTTGTCGCTTTTGCTGTTGCTGTGGTTGCGGGCATAGCAAATGTTGTTGTTGCGGGCGACGCGGTTGTCGGCGCATCTGTGCTGGTTGTTGCTGCTGAAGCACTTGTTGTGGCCTCCGTTGCGGCTGCTTGCGCTGTTGCGGCTGTGCTGTCCATCATGAAGAGTATTTCTGTGTCGGCCTCGATTTCGCCAAAGATATCCGCCGCAGATCTGAGATCAAAATTGAGCAACTGCGCGTCCGAAATGCCCGCCAGGGTGTTCAGCGGTGCTGGCGTTGTTGTTGTCGGCAGTAGCAGGGGCGTGGCCAGAGGCAGGGGCGTGGCCAGAGGTAAAGGCCAGTTGTAAGGCCAGCTGTGCGCCTTTTTATGATGGACTCTCTTTGTGAACGTGTCCTTGACATTGTCTGTCGCCTGCCAGCTATCCTTGGAGCTCCACAATTTGCTTGTTGCTGGCGCCTTAATGGGCTGCGCATCGAAGCCTTCGAAATTGTGTAGCTCGATTTTGCGTATCTTGCGATTGCTCAGATCCTTGGGCGTGGGCGTCGGACGCTTAAGCTTCCTCAGCAGGCGACGTGGTCCTGGAGTAGATGTCCTTGTCCTGGTCAAAGCGCTTGGTCTAGGAGAGGTTGTGGTTGTGGATGAGCTGGAGCTGGAGCTGGAGCTGGAGCTGGAGCTGCTGGCTGCGTAGAGCATGTGGGGAATGCGATATGCCATTGGCTTCGGACTGGGCGGAGGTAAGCCGTGGGCCACCTCCTCGGCGGGCGGGGCGCACTCGCCTTTGTGCGTGATCTTCCAATCTGTCAATGAGCGGAATGAGGCGGAATATGTGAGAGGCGACTCGTTTGTGGCGCTGCCAGCATTAAACCTACCGCTATTCGGATCCTTACAGCGCACCCGCTCCAGATAGCACTCGTTAATGATGGTGTAGCTAATGCCATTGCGATTGGCGCAAATCGGGCTGTACGCGCTGGGACAGGGCTTATCGCAGCGCCGGCAGCGGCCCTCGTACAGAATGGTCCATGCTGTGGAGTACTTTTAATTACAGTCGCCGCTCGCTAAGCCTCGCCGCTTCAGTGCTTACCATTGCCCGCCGCCTGGCTGTGCTCCATCAGAGCGCACACATGGGCAAAAGTGCGGCTCTCGCCATTGAAGCTGCCGCAGACGGGCTCATTACTGAACACGCACGGCTTTGAGCTCTGCCCCTGCAATTGGCCCAGCTCCTGCCCATTGCGGATTTTAGCTGTGCTGCCATAGAGACGCCGGATGCTCGGCTGAGGCTGGCGGGCAGGCAGGGAATAGCTCTTCTCCATGGTGCCCGTGTTGCTGATGAATTGCGTGTGAAATGTGGAGGGCGCAAAGATTTGCACCGCATCCTCCGGCAGCTCAAAGTCCTCATCCAGCTGATTGAGCTGCTGCTGGTGACTGCGCTTGCTGCGCTCCATCATCTGCGACTCGGACTTGGGCTTGGCATTGGCCTTGACCATTGGCTTCCACTTGCGATTGTGCTTCATCTTGGTGCTGTCCTCGCCGCACATGCCCTCCGAGATGATGCGCCAATCTGCAAGAGCTCGATGCCATAAGTTCTGCTTCAAGTTGGTTTATGTGCTTGGGGCTTACTTCTTCGGGTGCGTATGTTCTCCGCGTTGACCAGGCACTCGTTCGAGAAGGTCGACTTGACGCCCGCATAGCTGGCGCACACCGGCCGATACACGTTCGTGCAGGGTATGGGCCGGCGACGCCTGCGCTGGCCCACGAGCACCGTGTGCGCCGGCTGCTTGGGCTGCCGCTGGCCACGTGGACACGTGCCCCACATCTGGACCAGCCAGTCGGATTTGCTGCGGCACGCGGCGCGCATCATTTCACAGCGATTCCTGAAGCTCCTGCGCTCGCCCGAAGCCACGCTCACACCGCAAACGGGCTGGGAGGCGGCATCGCACTCGAAGTCGCAGCCGGGCAGACAATAATGCAGCGCGACATCAACTAAGGGTCAGTTGTTTATATAGATATGGAGTATATATGCTTGGCAGAGCCCAATCCCTTTCACTTACATATGGGTCCGCCCATGAGATTCTCGCGCTGCGCATTCCTCAAATCGCACTCGTTCTTGAACAGCAAATATGCGCCTTGACTACGCCCGCAGATGGGCGTGTTATCATTGGCGCACAGCATTGTCTCGTGATCCACTGCAGTTGCAGTCGCAGTCACATTGACAATTGCAGTTGCAGTTGCAGTCAAAGTAAGCACAGCCAGCAGCCAGGCTTGTCTCCTATTTCCCTTGGAAGTCATGTTCGTGTTCTAGTGCAATGCCCAAACCGAAACTAAATGCAACTCGAGATGCGTTCTGCTCTTTTATATCAAAGCGTGACCCATGGCGCCGTCGCAGATACCAAAAAATTGTTGTCAACACGTGATAATCGCGACACACAATCAACCCCAGCGAGCTGTGTGTGCGTGTGTAGATAAATGTATCTATGCATGACTGTTGCCAGCGCGGCCCAAACTTATTAGTTTGACTATGTTTCCCGATTTGGATTGGATTCGATTTGGGCTTAGTTTCTCCAATAAACCAGAATGTGCTTCGATTTGTCACATATATATATATATATATATATATATATTAAAATGTCGAAATTATTTAATACTGCATGTTCCAACACTTAGCTATATGACAGAAGGGATAAAACTATGTAGTGCATAAAAAGAATACTCCAGTCGGCAGTGCCCGACTAGGAAGATGCCCTGCATCTAGCGATTAGCTGCCGACAGAAATATTTGAACCTTCTTCTAAACATGTATACACAAGCACAGATATTCTGCCTGCGCTTCTTCATTCCCGCAGTCAGAAATATATATATATATATAGTATATATATATATATTCATAGTATATATATATAGTTATAGTCCGATCTCTTCAAAATTGTCGACTGCAAATATGTCACCAAACTTGAACAGATTGGTGTGTCTAGCTGCATTATCTCAAAACTCAAACTCCGATATAAGATATAAGATATAATATACATATAATAAAAAAGAACTAAAAAAATAAATAAAAATAAATAAATAGTTTCTGAGTGCACATAGACAGACAGACTCGTCGTGCAGATCGAGAGCTGCTTTTGCCTGTTACAAGCACATGCACAAAATGAGTATACCCTTTTTAAACATTTTCAATGGTTTGCAAATCTAGATATAAACAAACAAATATATTTAAAACATGATTAGACTTAGTAATCCTTTACTCCGACTATTATTTGAGCATCTGATGCGGGCCGGGTTTCTGTGTATAATCCAACGAAATGGTTTAAATGCCAGGCTAAGAATCATGCTTGCCTAAGACACAATATTGCTCTCTATTTAATCATCGGATTTGCATGCTGTTGACATAAGTTTTCATTTAGTCAATTAGATTTGCTTCGATTGGTCTTTTGCTTTGCCGACTGAGTCTTGTTGCGGCGCGTGCTACGTGATTTTTGGCTGATTTTGGGCAACGCCGCGAGATTCCAGATAAGACGCATTTGCTGGCGTTGCCGCAAGCACCGCAGTTGCTGCCAAACTTGGCATTTGCATTGATTGTGCACAAATTGTGCAAAACTTGATGGCTTATGCGAATGGTGAGTATTTAGTCTTTGCAGTCTGTAGTCTGTAGTCTGTAGTCTGACTATCTTTTCCGCACTTCTTCAAACTGATTATGGAGCACTTCGAACGCTGCTTATCGCCCCCAACCGCAGACAGCCCTCGTTTCTTTTGCTCTTGCTGCTTAGCTCATGCCGTATCAATAAACTCGACCAAGCACCCGACAACTACCTGAATTTTAGCTATGTGTCTGCACACATATATAAATACATACGGGCATTTTTTTTTTAACGCTGAATGAATTTCGTGCAATCGGCAATGGAAATTCTCTAATATCCGGCCGATAAGTGGCCGGCCAGCGCATTCATTCAGCAAAATATATATAGATAAACTTTAATCTTGCCTATCCATTTTATCTATAGTCCAAGAGACGTACATGATGCGGAGTTACTTGTAAATAGATAATTGGGTTTACCTTGAGGTAGACTTTGCATATAAAAGAGACAAGATTTCCCATTTTATGTTTCATGTTGGGGAACGGCAGATTAATAAGTATATTTTGATCATAATATAAATATTTAATAATAAAGTGAAAATACTCGCTTTATAACGCCGGGGGTAAGTCAACAAGTTTTTGGTTTCATGACAGCAATTAATATTGTGACAAATGTTGATAAAACTGCATTGACGTATTACCTGCAATAAAAAATAATAAATCACCAGCAGCAAGTTTCGTCTGCATATTTTTTCAAAAGATATCAAGAGATACGAGTTTGCATAGAAACAAACATGCGGATAAATGGACATGCTTTTAGCGACTCAGCTAGCCGGCGAATACATCTTGAATACATTTCAAATAAAACAATTTGCGTTTAAATAGTTTATACATCACTTAAACTTGAAACTGAAACCAGAAGCAGGGCTCTATCTGCATGTCAGATTTTAATGCGTTTTTAATAGATGTCAAATATTATAAAATTTCAAAATGACTTTAAAGTGTTGCCAGACATCTTGTCAATATGCGCAATTGAAATTGTGTAATCAGGATGATTCCTTTTAACGAACTTTACTAAATAAAAAGGAATTCATCCTCAGGATAAATATGTTCTCAATAATGTTTACATGAAAAACAACACATTTTACAATCAAGACTTTAAAAATTCCCAACAGTTCAATAAACAAAACGAATTTATCCTCGGGATAAAATTGTCTACATTCGCTTTCATGTCTAGATGATGCATACAAGAAAAATAAATTATATTACATCAACACAATTCACAATAATGATTGTATAGTCTAGACTTTAACAATTCCTTAAAATGTAGTTTATCCTCAGGATAAATGATGGCTGAATGAGCTTTCATATCCAGATGATGCTTTCAACCAATAAAATACATTTTTTTTGCTTGACTGACAATTAAAATTAGACACTTAAGGCCTTAATAATTTCCTGCAACAAGTACGAGTAATCGAAAATGACTTTATCCTCAGGATAAATATGTCTACATGAGCTGTCTTGCCTAGACAAAAATGTTTATATATATTAAAGTAACAGACAGAATGACGGCAAATTCAGTTGAGCTTTAATTAACCGAATAACCAAATTCAGAATCGCGTAAATCTCCATCAACGAAAATCGTTCTTTGGAGCAATAAACAGTTGCTATTTTAGCCGTTTGATGATTTTAGCAGCAACATCTGGCAACTGTCATTCGCAATTCTTAGTAAGCAGCATTTGCAGTTTGGTCGATTTACTTTGACATAAAGATTTCGTGCCGATCGTGGCAGCAGCTGTTCTCGATGCCATTAGAAGCAGCCAGAAGCTTCTTTGGGACGCTAATGGCCCGCAATTAGAAACGGGCGCGAAATTGCAAAAGTTTAAACGGGAAGCGCTCCGCAGAAAAGAAAGCAGTTGCGAGCGTTTGCTGAATATCTCAGCGCTGAATTCGATGCATAACTAGGTGAAATGTGAGAGGCAGCTAGAGAGAGAGAGAGGGAGAGAGAGAGAGAGTGCTGGAGAGCGTTTGCTTGGTTAGCTACTTGCTGGGCTGCTTAGCTGTGACTGTGGCTGTGACTGCTTCTGCGGTCTTTGGCAGCTTTGTTAGAGCTGCGAGAAAAAAACGCAACGCAGTCTAACGACAAGAGCTGAAGCATAAAGACATGCGAGGACGGGTGCAACGGCCGCCAGAGTCAGTGAACGCAGCGCATCAAACAAAGAAATAACCAAAAAAAAAAAAAAAACCCGAGTAAATAAATAAATAAAAAATTAGAAACGAACTGCAGATCTTCAGACCGCGTGTGCCACAAGTGTTAGCCAAGCCGAGCCACAACTCTCTGGCTTTTAAAATGGTTGTGCAAAAGGCGGCCACGCCCACACTGCCAGCTGCCGCCGTGGCAGACAGCCCAGACAATTGCTACATGCAACAATATCAGAAATACGCCACACACTGCGAGACAGCCGACAGCGGCAATGGCAGCGATCTGGAGAGCAACGGCGGACCCGTACAGGCCGCACTCCTGCTGACCGACGACAGCGAGGAGAGCGAGCCCTCCTCCCTGAACAGCGACAGCCTCAACTGCAGCAGCACAGAGTATGTGCGTCAGGCGGCGGCCAAGCCCAGCGGCCAGCTGCGCCAGCGCCACAAATCGCTGCGCATGCTGGGCAACCTGCTGCCGGACTCGCTGCTGCGCGACATACGGGACAGACGCAGCGCCGAGTACGTGGTGCAGTTCACCAGCCCCGTCGCCGATCCGGTCGCAGTCGCGGTCAACGACAAGCCGCCAAACCGGCAGCCAGCGAGCGGATCGGAGCTGCCGTCTGGCAGGCCGTTGTCGCGGCGCCTGTCGCGCGAGTCGCTCAACGAGGCCAGCATCGAGGAGCTGCGCGCCGCGGTGCAGCGGGCCAACTTTGTCCAAACCGGTGGCGATCAGCCGCCACCTGCCGCAGACAACTTGCAGCCGGACAACACCGGGAGCAGCGGGAGCGTGAGCGGGGGCAGCTACAAGTATGCGGACGATCAATACTACAGCTTTCACATAAACGAGCACGAGAACTTCAGAAGCTTTGCGCGGCATGACGATCAGCGGGAGCGGGAGGGGGACGAGGCGTCGATGCACGAGGATCACGACGTGTTCGCCGGCTATCGGGACGTGCGCAGCAGCGCCAGCTCCACACAGTCCACCATACGCTCCGCCAAGGGCACCGTGCGCGGCGTCAAGAATCGTGTGCGCAATGGAATAGCCACGTTCTTGCAGCTGCAACAGCAGCCGAATGTGAAGGTAAGCACGATGTTGCAAGGTGTTGCACTTGCCATGTTGCAACATGAACTTTTCTCTCTATCTATGTGTGAGTGTCTCTGTGTGTCTGTGTGTGTGTGGAATAGTCACGTTCTTGCAGCTGCAACAGCAGCCGAATGTGAAGGTAAGCAAGGTGTTGCACTTGCAATGTTGCAATATGAACTTTCCTCTTTATCCATGTGTGTGTGTGTGTCTCTGTGTGTCTCTCTGTGTCTGTGTGTGTGTGTGTGTGTGTGTGTGTGTGTGTGTGTGTGTGTGTGTGTGTGTGTGTGTCTGGTACCTTCCATTGAGTCACTTGTTGGCCAAATTATGCAATCGACGCGCGCATCTTGGCGAATTGTTTACCAATTGCACGCTCCATGGGAGAAAGTGCTGCCAAACAATTGACGTTAGTTGTTGCTGCTGCTGTTGCTGTTGTTGTTGTTGTTGCTCTGGTTGTTGCTTTTCAATATCTTTCACATTTGGTATTTATGTCTGGCTGCCTGCTGCTCGTAATCTAATGAGCCGCCAGACTCTGCCGGACTGCCAAACAGCCTCAACACACAGCGTCTTTTCCCCAGTGCTGCCCATTTGTGTGCGAGTTTTCTCTGTGTGTGTGTGTGTGTGTGTGTGTGTGTGTGTGCGCGCGCGTGTGTGTGTGTGTGTGTGTGTGTGTGTGTGTGTGTGCGCGCGTGTGTGTGTGTGTGTGTGTGTGTGTGTGTGTGTGTGTGTGTGTGTGTGTGTGTGTGTGTGTGTGTGTGTGTGCGTGTGTGTATGTGTATACGTGCAATTACACACTCGCATGCTTAATGAAATACCGTTAAGTGGCTTATTTTGTCGCCACTCGCTCAGCGCTTGGCTTTGGCTTATTTAGATATTGGTTGGTTTTGTGCTTTGGCCACACTTTTCCATTTTTTCCATTTTTTTCATGTTTTTTGTTGGTTTTCTTTGCTCCCAGCTAGATAAACCATTTAGCTTGAGCCGTTTGTTGAGTTACTAATCGCAGCTCGCAGCTCGCTCGAGATTGTGCAGTTAGAAAACTTAAGCAACAGCTAAATAAATCATAGAAAGTCAGCGAAGCTGTTTGTGGAATTGCCCACAATTTCTTTGGGGCGTGTGCTGAGATCCCATTTGGAGTGATCATAAAGCTAATTAAACCAAAGAAAATATCACATAACTATGATCACAGAGTTGATTTGAAGGCAACTTAGATCTAAGATCTATTGTTATGATAATAGGCGCACACATTTCTAGAGAATATATGATAGTGTATTAAAGGAACAGGTATATATATTTAGGTATATAAATGAAATTAGATTGATTTGTGATGAGTTTTTATACCCAACGACACACAAACTGAGTGTCTAGTTACGGATAGTATTTATATGATATATGCACGGCTCAGATATAACTACATAAGTTCTTGCCCATAAGTTGGGAGTATAACTCGTTATTGCCAGTGTCCTATATATAGCATATCTCTAACCAAATTGTTGTTCCATAATTCAGCTTTCATCTGATAGTTCTTATATATGATATAGTCGTAAAGACGGACTTAACTAAATGACTCAGCTGTTGATGTTGATGAAGAGCTTAAGACTTTGCAGATGCCATTTTTATCTGATAATCTTTATTGTAGAGTTCATCAAGTTGCACCAGCAGATGAATCTATGCTCTCTATTCTATATACCTTGTCTTCTCTCAAAGAGATGTATTGCAAATGTAAATAACAATATTATTTAGTTGTCATGCACCTTTTGCAATTCTATTGTTATAAAAAAAAAATTCATTTATCATCATAGTTTCTCAAGGCTTCTCAAGACAAGCTTCGCCTTTCAATCATTATAAATATTGGGCATACCAGAGATATTCATTAACTGTTATCTACATTTTATCGAGCATAAAAATCAGTTCATCTACAAACTTGATGAAACTTTCCGTTTGGTCTGCAATCATAAAAATGCTATGGACACATGAATATAGTCAGTTTTAGGTTTTAGGGTTTGTTTTTTATGGTATTTAACTTTTATTATTGAGCTAGTCAGTTGCGCGCATTTCACTTCCACAGAAGAAGACCAGGAAATTTCCCTTTATCTATTTTAATGCTTAGATTTGAGATCAGTTTAATTGTTGCTCTTGTTGTTGTTGTTGTTGCTTTTCACTTTCAAAGCTACGGAGCTTGACTCTGGGCTTGATGTTGAATTTGATGGAATGCTGAAGAGCATAAATTAGCTAAATGCCAAGGAAAAGAAATGTGTGTTTGCGGCCTTATAGCGGCGCACATGCAAATTAGCCTAATCGAAAGAAGTCGACGAGTTTAAGGCTAACAATGCGATCGCATCTGCATAACAATAAAAGAAAAACCAGCTCAGATGCTGCTGATTACAATGCAGCAGCCACAGCATGCAGGTCAGCTCAGACCAAATCGAAAGTGAAAATATGTTAGGCTGGCCTTTGTATGTTATTTTTGTTGAGGGTAGGATTTAATATGCGCTGAGGCAGTTAGTCGACGGCTTTACTGGGCCTTTGATTTATGTCTTGTGGCTTTAAGCCATAATTAGAGCATAAATGCTGCCAAATTGTTGCTGTTGCCGCAAATCAAATCAAATAAAAATATAATAAAATCAACAATCAAAGATGTTGCCTTCGTTTTGTCACCTTCGAGAAGGCAGCAACAACAATAATAACAACAACAACAACAACAATTGGAGACATCAAGAGACTGCTGTCAGCATTGGCATTAGCCTCGTAGCCCGCGTTGCTCAACTCTTCGAATGCCAATCACTCGAACCGACTGCTGCCTGCCTGCCTGCTGGCTGGCCAATACAAGTGACCTGCTTTCTCTTTTTACCAATTCATGCAGCTGCGGCTGCGTCTTCGACTTCGTCTCGTCGCTGCTGCGGCTGCAGCTTGACATACACTGAGAAAAAACTGCAACCTCTGCGAGGTTAGCCGTGCAAATCACGTTTGTTAATTGTTTGTCTATGTGTCTCTTTTTTGGCAACTCACAAAACACAAATAAAATCCCTGGTTGACAATGAGCTGCAGCAGGCCAAAGCGTTAATCAGCCTCAGAGCTGGAGAAGTGAGCGATGTGCGGTGTGTGGTGCATCTAAGAGTGAGAAAGGGGGATGTGGTGGGGCATCCTCGTGTTTTCACCAGGGACAATTGCGGCAAATGGAATTGGAAAAACCGCCAGGCGACATCTCGCAGAGCGACGACATTCACCGCGTCGCTAAAGTTGACTTTCCATTTGACCGCAGCTTGTTTTTTGGCTCGTGATACGAGTCTTTGAACTTCTTTGTTTTCCAACACAACCCGCACTAGATTAAAAATATATATTTATCACGTCGCACAGTGTTGAAAAGAGACGCGAAAATTCAGATGCAAACGGTGAGCTGGCAAAAGCCTTTTTGCTAGCAGAAATCTTGAAAATATTCAAATAAATAATAGGAATTAGAGATGGGCATGGGCCTTGTTTTTCTCCCTGGCTCCGTGCTTATCTTACCAACACGAGGAACACGATGTTATCAGGTGTTATCAGGGTTAAGATTCAATTTAAACTCTGTTGAGTTTTCCGACGTTAACTAAATGCAATATCTAATTACATCTTAACCCTCACATTCCTTCTTACATAGTCAAACATTCTTGAGGGTATATTTAAATCGTGCTCGTGTCTGCCCGTGTCACGCGGAGAAACACGCTCAATTGGAGCACACTCGCCAATGGTAACAGGTATTGCCTGTGTGTGTGCTCCTCAGTCCAAGACTCTCCACACTTGCAGCTCGAATTTTATCAAGTGCACCGTGGTCTAACGGTCTAATCTCGAGCTGAATGCATTTTTAGATGGCGAATTCTCGTTACACCGGTTTCAGAAGCGGGGGATTAACTTATTTTAAGTATCCGCACGGTCGCGGCTGCACTTGCACAGTTCATTGATACCACTTGGCTTGGCTTGGCTCGAGCTGGCAAGCTGGCTGGAAAGCGGTTCATTAGCCAAAGCAGCAAAGCAGACGGCACCAAAGTTGGCCAACTAACGGAAATGTTAATTGTCAAATGAAATGAGTGAACCCGAACCGGTTCGCCGGAGGGGGCCTTACAAAATAAGCCATCATAAATAGTCGGAAAAACGTCGCATTTCCATTGTGTGTGTATGTGCTGGTGTCACAGCTGCTGCCAATTGGCTAGCAGTTTTTCCATTATTGCTTAATTAAATTGATTAATAGGATTTTGAGTGACATGCAGAGTCGTTTGGTTACGTGAGCTGCAAACGGGCCGACCGACAGACAAAAGCTAATGAACCCAACTGGTTGTAAGCCCAAAGAGACTCCGAGCCAAGCCAGGCCAAGACAAGTCTTTTCATATTGTGTTAACACATACCCGAAGTTGATTGTCTTTTTGTTGGTTCTGTCATCCAGAGATTTCTCTCCAATGGAAAGCGGAAAATGTCGCTGCATTTTGTGTGGATTATATTTGGTCATGGATTTGTTTTAGCCCCATTTCGATCTTCTTTTGGCGTCGGTCGTGATCGTCGCGGCAACCAAAATCTGAGCGCTGTGGCGAATTCTGTGCCAATTTCAAGCTATTTTGTTGACCTGCTTTGCCGGCGCACACTTGGAGAACTGGAACTAAACTTGGTCTAATCTTTTGCCTACTTCTTCTTCTTTTCTGTCTTTCGTTTCGCAGTGCTACATGGAAAAAGATCTGGGCAAGGTGGTGCTCTATACGACTAGCATGGGCGTCATACGCGACACCTATGCGAAATGTGCCAATGTTAAGCAGATTCTGCGCACGCTGCTGGTCAAATTCGAGGAGCGGGACGTCTTCATGAGCGTCGAGTATCAGGCGGAGATGCGCCAGCGCATGCAGACCTCACAGATACGCGTGCCCCAGCTCTATGTGGAGGGCCAGCTCATTGGCGATGCGGAGACCGTCGAGCGCATGAATGAGTCCGGCGAGCTGCGCCAGCTGCTCAAGCCCTACAAGTCCATTGCCAGCACATACACCTGCCAGACCTGCGGCGGCTATCGGCTGTTGCCGTGCCCCTCGTGCAACGGCTCCAAGAAGTCCGTGCATCGCAATCACTTCACGGCCGAGTTCGTGGCGCTCAAATGCATGAACTGCGACGAGGTGGGGCTGGTCAAGTGCCACAATTGCTGACTGGACGAAGAACTGCTGTGAGGACCTGGACCATACCATATATATATATATATATATATATATATTTCTATAGCATTTGAGTGCATTATTTGCATTTTGCATAACCTTTTGTTCTAAGCCCAGTTTAACTTAGTCAACAACAACAATAATAAGCATGATCATACTAACTAACCAAGTCTAGACTTAAGTACTTAGTAAATAGTTTCAAAAAGGCAATGTTTGCGTTTTATTATGACTTTTAGTGGATTGATGAATGTGTATTATATTTTATAGCAAATATTACAAATATTTATTTATTTTAAAATACTTTTCAATTGTTGCTATCAATCTACCTGATACGTACTTTATTTAACTAATTCTACCTGAGCTTAAGACTTCTTCTATGTAGGTGCCTTTATCTATAAATTGTATAGAAGACCCCAAGCTTTTTTTTTCACATATTACCGGAAAATATTTCAGAGCTTCAAGGAAATAATTGATCTTTCAGGTTTTCAAGCAGACTGAGATTTTTGATTGATTATTTGCAGATGCAGACTTCTTTCTATTAAGAACTCTCAGAAGACCTTAAATAAATTTCTTAATTTTTTCTAGCTTGCGATTCACACTTCCTAAGAACTTATTCAATATATCTTAACATCTATCCGTTGCCAGCATTATTCACAGTAGTTGAATTGTAAACATTTGTTATAGCCTGTCTGATATTTAAAGTTGAGGCTTTATATTTTGCCCAGACGGGTTTTGTTTGTGCGAACTCGCAATCCAATTTTATTCTATGTGCTGGGTCAAGGTGTGCATACAATACAGTTCGTCAGGTCTGATTGTGTTTGCAGTCTTTCTGCCTGCCTCTCCCCCTCTCTTTCTCTCTTTGAGTGCCGCTATCTCGCTCTGCTCATCTATTCCTCTTTGCTTGGCAATTATGTAAACCTGCTCCACTCAGACTTCGCACTGACCGTGCAATTTTCTCGCGCCATTTAATTTCTGCCAGCCTGACCGTCTGGCCTTTGGGCCTGGCTCCGGCTCCGGCTCCGATTCCAGCTGCAGCTCCTGTTCCTCTGACTGCCCAGCCGACCCATTTGCTATTGCCATTTGCTTTTGGTGTCTTTGTTAGTTATTGTTATGGCATTTTTAAATGTTATTTTCCACTTGGCTCACACTTGTGTTTAACATGCCGCCCACACGCACTCCGGCCGCCCTCGCTGCTGACCAGGCTAACTGACCCTGGGCTTGCAGGCGAACCCTTTACACCAGCGGGTGGTAAAAATGGTTGTGTGTTGTGTTCCGCATTTGCTTGTTGGCGACTGTTGGCACCGCGGCCCGGATCGTTAAATTCACAGGCGGCTACATTGTAATTACCAGCCATAGCCCGCCCAGTCCAGGCCGGGCGTCCACCCGTCGAGCGACTGGCCCAAATCCTCAGCCAAGGCAGCTTGATTTATGCGCCAGCAGCGACGCCATCGCCGTCGTTGCCGTCGTCGCCGTCGTCCTCGTCATACGCAATTTTTCATAAACAATTTGGCACAATAACACACAGAATATGCCGCTGGGCGTGAGGGCTGTTGGACCAGTTGGGCGGCTGCCAAAAAAAAAAAACGTGCAATATTAAAATAAATATTGTAAATGCCGGTAATGCTGGCAAACGGCAGCATATGAGCGGCTTGTGGCCACAACAGGGCAGGGCGGGGGTCGTTGGACTGACAGCCACACGGCAGCCCGAGTAGCTGTCGCCGTCGACTCGCCCAACTGCTGGCAGTTAAACCTTTTAAAGGCACACGACGGGCCACAGCGAACGCCTCCAACTCCAATCGACTCCACCTTTGCCATGGGCTGCCATTGTTAACTTTATCCGCGGTAATTAGTTTATGCGCGCAATTTCATGTGCATTTCGGTCATTAAATATTGTTGTTGCTTTTGTTGTTGTTGTTGTTGTTGTTGCTGTTTTTTCCAGCTGCTGTGTGCATTATTATTATTTTGGCATACTCTCCGGCAGCGGCTCCAATATGTATCCGAAACGTCGAAGCTTACAGTTAATGCTGCATACTTTCCGGCGCAGGTGTTTGTTGGGCCCACACACTATAAATTTGGACATGGCTGGGACGGGGGTTGCTCCCAATTGGCGACAAATAAAATTAGGAACACATTATGTTTTCGACAAAAACTTTGAAATTGTTTTGCCATGCCATGCCCGCCTCCCTTCGCCTGGCCATTCGCCGTGCCCAGCAGCTCATTACATTAACTGGGCTTGGGCCACAAATCACGGGCAGCTACTCAACGGATTATTAAGTGAAAATTATGGCACTCCTAAGGCTCATAAAGCATTCACAATGCTCTTGGCCCCGCCAGCAGCGGCGGTTAGTTACGTTTTTTATTGTCAAAGCATGCCCGTTGTTGTTGTTGTTGTTGTTGCTGTTGCTGCTGCTGTTGTTGTTGCCCTAACCCATTTGCTGTCTGCTATAAAACTAACATAGCTCACATTATGGCACAGCCCAGTCAGCCAGAATGAGAGAGAGACTTTTATGCTTTCAGTGTGTGCATAAGTTTTAATCTGCCTTTGTTACAATCTGTTGGCTTCGTTCAACTGATGCTGCAGTTGTGGCTGCTGCTGCTGCTGCTGCTGCAAGACAAAAGGCCACAGTGGAAACCACACTGAAGCCCGAATGCTCAATCCCAAGCCAAGAAGCCAACAAGAGACTAAACGTTGTTGCTTGGCCCTTTGTTCAGTTAACACAGCCTGTGGCATCGATAATGGCAGCTTTTAACACATACCACCACACCAGGGCTACCATCTGTTAAGATATGCACTCAATGGCAGGGGTAGCCCTGGGGACACATTTGATTTTCTACACGTTGTTGTTTTGTTTTTGATATATGCCCGACCCCGGGTTCCTTTATCAGGTTTTTACCGAAGATCTCACAGTTTCTTTCTTTCAAGCGTCTTTGACTTTTAGGCACTTAACCTTTTTCTAACTTTTTTTCTTAAGCTCCAAGCTTCTATATATAAGACTTGGAGACTTCGGCTTCAATGGAAAGCATTAGGGTTGACCTGTACAAATTCTTATGAAAAATATTTTGCAACCTAAATAAAGTTTCTTCATAGTTTTGAAAACTTGGAATTTAATAATATAGAGTTCAAAGAACAATATCATTCTTTTTAATATAATACCCTAAGAATCCTATAAATTCTTTCCGTTCGAACTTTTCTCTTAATTTGTTACCCTTTTTTTAACTATTTTTTCTAATATTGGGCGTGTACTGTGCCCTTTCTCTTCGATTTGACAACCACAGCCATTAATACATATACATTTCTGAGACTTCTTGGAACTTACTGTAATATATTGTGACTTTCTTGCTCTGCAATTTGTGTTACGAACCTCATTAGACAGTTTTTATGCCCTGTGCGAGCAGCCGAAAGTGCAAAACAATTCACAAGTTGCCGCGCAGTAAATAAAATAAAATACAATAAAATAAAAGAAAGCAAAAAGAGAGAAAGAAGAAGCTAAAAGTAAGTAAACAATTGATTAAAATTTATGCACTTTATCCGCTCGAACCGCACACAGAGCCATCGACACGCGCAATCGATCCATTTCTATATAGATATAAGATGCCTCCCATCCAAAGTTTGCCTTTCAGCTTTTGTGTGTGTGTGTGAGTGTGTGTGTGTGTGCGTGCGGCTGGGTAAGCAGCATTTTGATTAAATTATTTTAATGGTAAGTGAGAGATCTATGGTAAATATATCCTCAGTCAATATGCTACCTCGCCCGCCCATTCAACCGCCCCCTCCCAATGCCGCTCCCCCTGCCTGCGCAGCTGCAGTCAATTAATTCAGCTGCGAACTATTAAAGCACACACCGGGCGCTCATAAATTGAGTTTGAAGCGCGACTTGCGAGCAGCCGCACATGAGTCAATTCTCTGAGGGGAGTTGCAAATGAATGAATATTTCATACGCTGCGTATATGCGTATGCCCAGATGCAGATGCCGATGCAGATACTCCTAGAGTAGTCCGCCCGGGCAGCCCTTCTCCCCCCTCCCAACACCAACCCAGACATAAGCCGTTGCTAGCCGTTAAACAACTGTGTTTCGCCTGTATTAGCTTCGTGCCGGCAGCTCTCGGACAGTTTTGGGATTGCGTCTGAGTTTGGATTTGGATTTGGCAGCGGGCGCCCTAAGCGGACTCACCTGCCCGCATGCCCTTAGCTCTCGTTATCTAGCTCTCTCTCTCTCTCTCTCTCTCTCTGTCTCTCTCTTTCATTTTCGCTTTATATCTGCTGCTCAGTTTGTCTCTGTTTAACTCTCTGGCTGACTGGCAAATATTTATTGAACACGATTTGCTCGTTAGGCGAACGCAATACACACACACACACACACACACACACACACACACACACACACACACACACACACACACACTAGCATACACACACACACACACACGCCTAGAGCGCTTCTTTGGCTGCTGTTTCGCTTCGCACATTCGTTTTTCACTTTGATTCATTTTGTAGCATTTTTCAATTTCTTTGTATTGAATACTTTTCTTTCATTTTCCCTGTGCTTTCTTTTCTTTCTCATTTTTTCCCCCTTTTTTTTCTCTTTTTGTTGCGATTTTTATCTAGGACGTTTCTCAGCTGCCGAGCGATTTGTGTGCAAATTTTCCACTGTCATTATGTGCATGTATGTGTGTGAGTGTGCGGGTGTGTGTGTGGGTGTGTGTTGGCGTAGGTGTGCTAGTTTCAAATTTGGCCTAGGCCAAAAGAAACAGTTAATAAAATCCCTTGACACGAAGGCGTTTACATAAGCTTTTAGCAAATAATTGAGTGTGCGTGCCTTTCTTGTTGTTGTTCTTGTTGTTGTTGTTGCTGTTGCGGCTGGCACGTGTGCCGTGCCGGGCCGAAAATTGTACGGATTGTGCCGTGTTGTCCGGGCCAGCCTTAAGGGCAGCCCCAGCCACCTTTGCGGCCCATGTGCCGGGTTTTGGTTTCATTTCTGTAACTGGAAATTCAATTGAA